CCCCTCCCTCGCCCTTCACTGCCCGCCACGGACCGGAGCCTGCAGCCTTCTTGTTTGCCCGCAGGTGTACCGCGGCATTCCCTACGCCATGCCGCCGGTGGGGTCGCTGCGCTTCATGCCGCCCGTGTCCGGCGCGCAGTGGCAGGGCGTGCGGCTGGCGCACCAGTACCCGCCCGTGTGCCCGCAGCGCCTGCCGGACATCGCCAACGAGACGGACGCCGTCCAGCGGATGCCGCGGGGCCGGCTCGACGCCCTGCGCCGCTTGCTGCCGCTACTAGCCAATCAGAGCGAGGACTGCCTGTACCTCAACATCTTCGCGCCGACCGAAGGTGAGTTAGTTGTGCCGCTGTTACACCGCATGACGCCAGGCGTGTTGCCCACGCGCCGCGGGGTGCACTGCTCGGGCCGCTGTTCTGCTTCCCTGTCGATTCACTTAGGCCCTTCCCTCGGTGAATTCATCCCCGCGGCAGCCAAGTTATGTGCGTGACTAGGTGTAAGTAGATAAGATGAGGCGAAGTTAGGCGGCAGGACGGTCGGCCGCTCTACTGGAAAGGGGTGCAGTGGGTGGGTAGGGGGAAGGACAAGCGTGCGGGGGACGGTGGAAAGGGGCATGGGCTGATGTTCATCTCTACGCAAATTATCCAGTAATTGACCCTTCACTGTTAGCAAGTAGCATTTTGCGTAATTTACGTTCTGTACTTCGAATTCTGATTGCGTTTAGAGCGGAAATTGGACACAGTGTACAGTGAAAATATTCGTAGGTTTACGGTAAAATTCATATTCATTATTTATTTTTCCCAAATAGCATACAGCTGAGGAGTATACACAATTCAGAAGCTGTCCACATGGTCAACGTCGTAAAGTTGCCAAGTCAAATTGCAAAATTTCAGAGAACTTTAGCATGAATTTTAAAACATTAATTTCCAGCAAAATCTTAAAACGACTGCGTTTGTAAGTTTTGTTAGTGATTTTTAAAATTAGAAATGTGTAAATACTTTTGTAAATCTACAACAACGGTGATTGTAAATTTACATCCCAAATTGTGAATAGAGTTTACAAAAAAATATTGTAAAATATTACAGAAGTATTGTTGGACATCGTTCAACTGCAGAGAGCCACGCGCGGCCGATGCTCAGAAGCGGTGCGCCTTAGCAGGCGTCCAGAACGTGTACCATTTTCATGGCTAGCAGGTGGAAGCGACGGAGGAACCGCGTGCGGGTGGCCCCTTTAGACACAGTGTGTCCCTTCGCCCGGTGGATGGATCGCAGACGGACGCCCTGATGGGTAACTGCATTTCAAATGAGAGGAGAAGCAGAGTGAAGTGGTGCAGACGGTGAAAGTAGGGCAAGCGGGTGCTTTGTACGCAAAGGGTTCGGCAAGTGGCCCAGCCCTCTGTGGCATAATTTTAAGCTCGACTCTTTGCCTGTGCTGGCTCCCCCTGGAGGACTCTTCTGTTTTCACTTCTGTTATATTCTTTTCATTTTACTCTCTTTGGTTCACTCCATAGCCAGTCCTTCCCCTTCCCCTTTCCATACTCTGCCATCGTTGTACTCGGTTGTATTCCATACCATCCTGGTTTTCCTTTCCGTTTCGTGTCAACCATCGTTACTGGCATGCCTCATTAATTAACACAGTGCACCAAACGGGTGGAAAATAATTTGGCTCGTGGCATTGAGATACAAGCTAATTGGCTGGTGCGGGTGACATACACACCACGCTCACGTTGCACCCGAGCACACACGCACATGCTACACTCTGCAATTCTCAAGTTAAAACCACAGAATTTTAAGGTACTACTGACATTTTCATATTTTTGAGTATCCGCTGGCTGATAGAAATTAAACAAAAGGTGGCCAGTATAATTTTTAAAATTTTAGTTTACCATCATTGACTCACTGCAGGATAAAATATACAGGCAATCGTTACAAATACCCTGTGAAGCGAGTCGTCCGAAGGCTGTAGAAATGTCGTGTGTGGCCATGTAGTAGACACGTTCCGGTGCCTTGCCTGGAGCGGCCTGTCCATGTCCGGTGGACTCTGGGTCTGCCCAGCCGCCAGTTCAGCAGCAGTTGTGCTGATTAGGGCGTGGGCACTAACGAAGGGACCGCTGCGTGCGGGGGAGCAGGCCGGACGCGCCTGCCGGGCTCGGCATCGCTTACGCTTACACTTTGCTCCAGGAGGTGTCGTCAGGCAGACTTCACCTCACATCGGCATCCTCTTGAGGCTTTCCCACTGTAGCAAATGAGCAATTTCCTCTGGCGCCTTTTTCTTTTTGTTCTTGATATTTTACAGAAAATGGAAATGGAAATGAGCTAATGTTTACACTAAACTGTGCATAAACATGCAGAATTTTATACAACCGTAAGTATGCACAGCGCAATGCATACGGATTTAGTGTGTTGAGAGAAGAATGCGTGAAACATTTGCGACTGTTTCAGAGAACAATGTCCAACAATAGCGTTAGGTCTCTCGCGTACAAGAAGTGCGACATTTCCTGAGAACGTTCCAAAACTTATGGGTTCTTTCAAGGGCAGGCAAAGCGTTATGCTTTACGACCAGCAATGGCTGTTACCAGAATTACCAATAAAAATCATTCTGGTGGCTTTCCAATCGAGTGCTCGAATGGGCCCAGTGCGCCGCGCCCGCTCATAATCACAGGTGGCGCGGCGCGCGGTTGCAGTAGTAAAAGTGTTTGGTTGTTGTGAAAGTGAAAGTGAGCGGGCGAAAGGGACGGGAGGGTGAGTGTTGTGGCGTTCGTGCTGGGTGGCCACTGGGCTGAGAGCGAAAGCGTGTAAGCCCTGCAGCCTGCTGGGGCAGCTCCCAGGACGATCAGACTGCCTCGCAACGCACCGCCCGGCACCGCCCCTGCCCCTGTCTGCCCAGTAGAATATATTTTGCTTGGCGCGTTGAGCTGTTCGTATTACGAGCTATCATTTCCCGTTTGCCCCGCGCTCACAGCGGCTTCCCGCCTGGCAGTCCGCCTCGGCTCCTAGAAAGGGTGTTGGGTGGGGCAGTAGAGGAGGGACAGGCTCTGAATTCGTATTCGCCCTACATCAATGGCCTTGAATATCGCCATGGTGACCCGAGAGAAGTAGAGGCATGAGGTTGGGGGTGGCTGGGGTGCCCTGAGTATGGCTGGTTACAAAGTTGGCCTTTTTCGTTGACTGCTCCATGCTCTCCTGACCGAGAAAAGCTACACAAGACACAGAAAAGCTGACAGCTACTGTTTAACAACTTGAATAGACAGTTGTAATTTGTAACCTAACTATGAACTACATTTTTTCACAGTTAAAAATGCACAGTTTAAAAAGTAAAACTATTTTATTTAGCTCCACATTACACAGCACTAAAGCTTCATTTTTTATATGAGATATTAGATGCACAAAATTTTAATGTCTTTCGACCGGAGGCCGTTACATTAGCTCGGGCGGCACCCGCAATTCGACTGCCTTTTGCTACAACGATCCGTCATTTCATCCGAGATAAGGAGGTGTGCTTGGGCTGACAGGCGACGAGAAAGTAATGAATAGAGACGGAAGGGGGAGGGGTGACAACCACGGTGCCTAAACGGCAGATTGCGTGCAGGAAGGATGTTGTTCGTGGTTGTGGCGATGAGTGGGTCTAGGAAGGAGGAGGATGTGGGAGGGTAAGGGTAGAGATGTGAAGGGGGGCGGGCGGGACAAACTGAGAAAGCGAGGAGAAGGGCACAGGCGGGAACCACCAACACTCGTGTTTAAGAAGTATTTCTTTAAAGTATTCATAATGTCTTTACAGTCCTGAAAGTTCTAATTTCACACACTCGCGCTCAATAGAACATGACAATTTCCCCCTTTTACGGCATTTCGTTCCAGCTTGTCATTATGAAGCACATTTCCCACGCACGACACAGCAATGTTGTTGCTCGATAAATCAGGAATCGCCAGACTCTAAATTTTTAAAGTAATTTATCAACTTCAACTAATTGCTCTTACCTGATTGTGTTTATGTATGCATTACATCCTGAATAACGTCCTTTTGTGATTTGAATACTGTGTAAATTACACCATGTTCCTACACACGTAGAGCCATACCCCAAAGGATATGTGTCGAAGTGTGTTCAGGGCTATATTGTTATCACTGTTTCCTGAATACGTGAAAGGTATCCAGGAAATAACCTGTACATATGGGGGTAATTCAGGATAGTGTATACATGCCCGGGTGGAAGGATCTGTACATCTAACTGTAATAGCGCACTGTATACGGATCACATTTACAAATGCATTTAAAGTGTGTACAAAATCATGTCAAATCGTGTTAGGACTACATATGTTAACGTTCATTGAAAATATTGTCAGAGTGTATAAAATATACAGCTGTAGCCTGTAGTTAGACCACAGTTTAAATGCAGATTTCTATACTTTTTCTGCAGTTAAGTCGCAGTTTTACTTCAGAAAAACTGTAGTTTTTTCGGAATGCGCACAGTTTAACTGCAGTTTGGGCGGTTAGTTTCGAACTGCACTCCGGACAAGAGTTGCGAAGTACAAACAAAACCTACAGTTGGTATCATACTCAAAGTGCAGTGTTCAAAACTGCGTTCAAAATTTTTTTTCGGGAATTTCTTCTTCTACCACCCTTCTACCTTCCCCCACTTACCCCCTTTCATCCGATTAATTGATTGTAGAACTCTTACCTTGATGAATGTTGATGAAGTTGATGGGAGTTGAACCTCGGACTTCGGAGTTGGTAGCGCAGTACGATGACCACTGAGCCACTGCGACACCATGGCTCTGGTCTCGCAGTAACTCAATGACATGCTAAGCGCTCCGGTCCGACAACTCGCAGTCGAACTACAGTCCAGCTACAGTTATGCTACATTTTATCCACCGTTTGCAGTTTCTACCACAACCGAATAAATCGTCTCCTGCTGCCAGGTTCAGATGACAAAAGAAGTGTACTACACGTACACACCGGCCATTATATGCATGTATACGTATTACGCTTAATATCAATATCTTTGTGTAGAAGTATTCTAGCTGGGGAGGCGTCATAAAGCATCGTAAGCACGACCGGCAATTTGGGAAACATGTACTCATCCTCCTGAGTAGGTAGCTAGGCTTTGGTTCAGGGTATTTCCTATCGCCCCGTTCGGCCCATAGTAGTATGCTCTCGGCCAGCAGAACGGCACGTGTGCGGGGGGTGGGGCCGAGGGGGACTTTCCGGGATGTCTTTTACCTGCTAGGGTGATGAGTCGCCTCTACTGCCCGGTCTGTTAACCAGGTACAATGTTCAGCCAAAAACAGACTATACTTTAAGACTGACAGCAGTAATTCTGCAAACTGACCGCTCATAT